CAGGAATCGAACCCACGGTCACGCAGTAATGTGGATATGGAGTGCCTGCTTTAACTACTGAGCTACACAGCAGCTTCTGGAGGGCAGGATTGATTAGAAAGGAATCGAATAGATGACCTGTCACCTTTAGGCTGGCCAGGACACAAAAACTCGCAAAACATGAAAACTCAGAAAGATAATAAAGGAAAGGATTTTTTGAAAACATTTTGAATTCAATTTGTATATGAAAATATAAAAAAACAAATAATGTTTTTAATTGTTATTATTATCACTGTATTTTTTTGTTTTATTAAAAAAAAAAGTTCATATTAAATGTCTTTATATATATTTTTTCAAGTTAGTTTTTATGATTTGGTTTTATTATGATTTTTTTGTTATTATCTTATTTTACTTATTATTTTATTATTATTACTTTATTTTAATTGTATTTTTTAAATTAATATTTAATTATTATTATTATTATTATTATTATTATCATTATTATTATTATTTTTGTCCATTTTTTTTCACGTCCCTCTGAGGTGGCCAGAGGTGTGGGTCCCTTGGGTAAAACAAAATCTCTCTCTCTGCCTGATTTTTGGTACCAACCAAGAGTTATATTTTTTGTTACCAACCAAAAGTCCTTCTTAGTCCCAGTTTCACATTGTCACATCAGGTCCAGAGGTCGATGCAGTAGTTTTTCATGCAGGTGCTTAAGGTTCAACACCCAGGGGAGGGGCATCTTTTGTCTTCTGCTATGCTGATGTTAAGTCTGGAGAAATGGTCCCCACCACTTTTTCGAACCAAGTGCCTAAACTAAGGTGTTCCTCAACTCACCTGAAAGCGACAATTTTCATGAAAAAGGAAGGAATTCTTATAAAAATCTACAAAAACAAGAGGCTACTATTGCATCTTTATTTCAGGGTTTATTAACTGGATGACTTCCCAATTCCTTGTTGGAGCCTACTGACACACCAGGTGGTCAGACCTCATTTCTCAAGTTTCTCTGTTGCCAAGGGGATACCAGTTCCATATGCAGCAGACCCTTTATAAATCAAACCACTCTAAACAGATACCTATTAAGCACCCAGAGTAAGATGCAGAATTGGCTGTTACTTCACTAAAAGTGAAGAAAAATGATAATACATAGATGGTGAGTACATTAGGCAATATCAATTAACATTTTCTGCCACTGTACATGTTATTGTAAAAATGAATATTAAACTATATGTTGGGATACATTTGACAGAATATCAATTGAAAGACATTTAAATAAAAACATTTAAATAAAAAATGTCTGTGGCAAATCCCCAAAATGTAATACATAATAGAAGTTGAAGGTATCCAATACAAGGGTTTTTCATAGTCTTGGTCTTCTTGTTACTTCTGGCCTGGATTTCTTAACCACTGCTGTCTGCTTCAACTGGTTTTCCTTTAAAATAACATCAACAGTAAGGGTTTGTGTGTATTTGTGTGTGATCCCTTAAGCTTCACCCTAGAGAAGGAATAATTCACGATTTCTTTATCGTAAATGTAACGCTAAAGAACCTTTTTCTGCAATGGTTTTTTCTGCAAACACTTACATTGAATATTTAAGAAATCTCTATAAACTGTAAATAAAATAAAATTGTAATCAATTTCGGCAAATTTCTAATTTAAAGAAAATCTTTCTCCACTTTATTTTAAAATTGACAAACATCTGTGCTCAAAGGGGAACATGTGCATTACAAAACAAATATTTGAGGATTGCAAATAAATAACGCTTTAAAATACAAAACAATAATAGAAAAGATAAAATGTTCAGGTTCAAGATCTAAACTTGATCGCAAGCGTTGATGGTCTTGATGAAGCAAAGCACCCAGAACTTGTATCAAATTGTATAATAATGTAGTTTGTGTATTTTAATATAAAGCACATTCTAAATATAGATTAGAAGCTGAAAGAAAAACACAACACAGAGACGGGGATACCACAGAAATTATAGTCTTGTAATTCAATGTATTCACATTACAACATCCACATGGTTCAGTTTGTGACGACTTCTAATGATCTTCAAATATATTCACTGTATGATACATAATACCAATATAGGCACTTCCAGTAAGTCTGGCAATATTGAAGCTACAGTATAGTGTCTAAATTACAAAATGGTAAAAATAAATAATGTATATTTAAAAGAGTTTTTGAAGTTTTAAAATGTCTTTACTGTACAGCATATATGTATATTGTACAAAATGGAGCATCAACCTGCAAGAAAAGTAATTATTTAACGTTCACAAATACTGTGTATTTGGACAAAGTCTTCCTTGTGTAAGTATTAGTACATGTGGTAAGTGCAAGGTACTAGTGAGAAGAAAGCAATTATTTAATCATGTGTCAACTATATAAAAATACTCGTCTCATTTCTTTTTTTTTTACATAATTGTAAAGCTCGTTTGGTTCCCATGGTTACAATTATGCTACACGTGTGAATAAGTATGACACTCAAATAAACCAATGCAAAAAAAAGTACACAAACAAAACTGATATACTGGATCAGCTCAAATGCAAGTATTGACTTAAGACTGATGTGACTGGGGGAAAAATGCATATATAGTCCACTGAAGATCATCAACATACTATCACAGTGGACAGAATCCCATCGTCTTTAGTGATGAGAGACGTGGGATGAATGCTACTATTGTATTACCACTGTTGCCAGTGAGGATCTCTGATCTGCACGCTAAGCAGATCAAAGTGGAAGCACAAGGAGAAATATGCAATAGGTCCTTCTGCGAATAATTATTTAATCTGAGAAGCATTGAATAACTACATACTGCATCACTTTACCCTTCATCTTTTCACCACCTCTACTTGTGACTCATAGCCTCCTCTACTTAACAGCAAACGCTAAATACAGGAGTCACATTAGAGAGGCCAATGGAAGAAGTCAAATGGACACAAACACACCATCTTTCTCTTTCACGCACACTGTATACTGTTTCTATACATTCACAAAGGAGAGTTCGAGTTGATGTAATTGTACAACCTGGTCGGTTGAAATATAAACAAGTGGAAGTTTCATCATCGCAAATAGTGATAGAAATGTTATTTTTAATGAATAAAATGTATTCATTGTGTCTGTAATGGTGATTATAGCTAATTAGAGAGGGGTTGCAGGCAACATACAAACAACAGCAGGCATGTTGTTTAGAATAAACAATGAGGGCGGCTACATGTGATCATTAGAGGCCAGGGAAAAAAGTCTGATTCAGCGGCTGCTAACAAGTTTGGTCCAATATAAATGATTCTCTGTCCAATGTTTTTCTGATCAGTCAGTCGACTTCTGTGGCCTTAGCTGCCCTTCCTGAGTTCCTCCCCCCTCCCCACTGAGCCAGAGACAGGACAGCAGTTAACAGGCCATTATGGATGAAGTGCGCTATTCACCACAGCCAGGAACATCGGGTGGTAATAAAGTATGCTAATGCATGATCCGCAAGGACATGATGTTCTACACCCAATGTTATTTCAATCACAGGAAGACTCCATTATGTCCAATCTACAGGAGGCTCTATGTGCAGTCTTTAAAGAAATGAGATGATGGAGGAGAACAATGGTACAGTGAGAGGAGATACCAGTGGATAATATGTTCAGATGAGCATGTAGGTCATGAGAACTCAACACGCTTATCACTGGATAATTCATAATTTATTGCCTCACTGCACTCGTGTGACAAAAAGTTGACCCACCAACTCAACTTCACTTATTCAACTCAAGATCTACCTACGGTTTCTCAAACACGCTTTTATATGCAACTGTGAATTATTAAAGCAAAGTGGAATACTCTTCAGAGTCATTTTGAATGCTAATCCAGCTACTGCAAAGTTGGTTTTGTAATAGTTTTTCCTCATGGCTTCTCTTGATTGAATGTAGGGTTTATGATTTGTGTTGTATATTCAATATACCAATATTAAGTCATGGTTTCGAAACAATGTTTTTATGTCTTTTGGAAACGTTTCAAGAGCTCTTTCTTTTTGTTGGATGAATCATTGATTTGAACAATTACAAATGTGGGGTAAAGATCGCAAAAACTAACATATTCACTTCCTTTTTCCCAGTGATAGTGAAACATAAGAAAACAACAACTCTAAAGATGTGCAAATGTAAGTAAAAACTCCCAGGGAGTGATTATGATTGAAAAACATTGGGTCATGGTTATTTCCAAGTGACAAATCTGATGCTTTAGTGCTTGAGTAAGGGATTCAATAACACATTATGCTGCAATCACGGTCAATTTGGCCATCACTGAAAAGGTAGCTTTTACTGCAATCCAATCCATGAAATAAAAAAACATTATTTTCTAATCGTTTCAGCCTTGCATGAACACTTTGAATCACATTAACCTTGACTACTGTACATGTCAAACTACATTTTTCTTGAGTGATAAACATTTTTTTTATCTGAATGATTTCCCTCTGTATCATCACAGAAATATGTGATAAATCAAATTGGACTTGACCTTGCAGAAATAGTAAATCCAGACGCTGGAGCTCTGAGAGAATGAATGTCGCCCTGAGGTGACGGGGGAAGAGTTCAATGTGTTTATCGGCTTTGTTGTGACATAAACTGTAGCCTTTTATGAACATATTCTAAACTCATGTACTATCCCTGCATATTTGTAACGTACTGTCCTCACAGGTGGTACAAATGTTTACTTTGAATTTCTACAGTTAAGGTTTTCCTGAGGGTTAACGGTCAGCATCATTTGCAGGTTTTTTTTTACATAATGAGGAAAGTGTGTTGAGACAGCACACTGAGTCCAAATACATAGTCAGAGAGTTATGGGTTGCAAAGATAATACAAAGGAAAGTGTATTAGTTAGTCTACCTGATGTTTGGACCCTTTTCAAAGAATATTGTAGGATTTTCCATCTTAATTATTTTAGGTAATACATTTCTGGTCCCTTTTTGTTGTTATCTCCCCTTATATTGTTCTTAGATACTTTGGTTGTATTAGTGTATGTTCTCTGTACTGACGTTCCCTTTTTGGTCTAGTATTGAGCACAAATTCATTTCCAGCAACCCTCTAATGCAGTCTTAGTGCAGGCCTTGGGAATACAACAATTAGGACAGTTAACCCTGTAAAGACCTCTATATCTATCTCGAGGCTGGAGACCAGAGATGGCACAAATAAATCGGATAAATATATCTATATCCTCTGGAGAAGAACTTATATAAACATGCAGACACACACACGCATACAAATACAGAGTGTGAGGAGCCTCTTTGTATCTTGTAATATGACTATACCTATTGGTATAAAGGACTTACAGTAATTTGGCAACAAATGTAAAAAAAAAAAAAAAAGAATAGATTTCATATGCTTAAGCCTAAGGGTGAGTGATTTTTTTGGCAGAAGAAGAAAAAAAGATGCCAATGTTCTTTAATCGATTGACTCCCTTTATAATCCATATATAGAAAAAGAAAACATAATATGGCCCATGTCTGACCTCAAAAACTCTTGCTAAAATTGGAACACAAGTACAAGTAACTGTGATGTCTATATATAATTGCATTCAGAAAATAATTATGTATAAATTGGCAGCGAATGTCTGCAGTCCCGTGTTACCACATTGGGTTGAGGTCTGTGCAAGCAGTCTTCCTCTTCTCTTGACAGTATCAAAAGAGTCTGTATCCCAAAGTACACAAATCATCCTGTATTGCAATATGGAAAGCTCCTTTAAATGTTTGGTGAACCCAGATATTCAGATACAATGTGTAAAGCACATATTTCCCACCCTGTTTTTTGTTATGTATAGGCACACATTTCCCAAACATCTACAGTGTTGTGTCTAAGTGATGTGCTGGCAAAGATAGGAGTCAGTTGATAGGATTGGAAAACAAGAAATACTTTTTCACATCCTTGCCCTGACTGACGCCATATTTCCCATGAGCTGTTTCACTGTGGGTCCTCCTCCGCTTGTTCCTCTGCAGGTTTACAGTCTTCCTGAGCAGTCACGGGCCACTCTGGTTCCTCCACTCCCTCCTCTGGATCCTCTCCTTCCAGTAACTCCTCTCTGCTGCCTGGCTCCTCTTCCTCCTCGTGAATAGCCAGGATTGGCTCAGCTACATTGTTTAAATGGACGGTTTCTGCTCCCTGGCCCTGTTTCGGGGCCTCCTCTGCAATCACCTTCTTCCACATCTCGTGGTTCTCCATCAGGTGGTGGGTGATCTGGCAGAACACTTTCCTTCTCTTCTTGGAAATAGCTTTCTCTGAAGAAAATAGAAAGAAATTGTGAAGATTTTCTTTTGATGAATTTATGTAAGTCAATTATTCAATTGCAGACAATTACAGGCAGCAAACCCACTGCATTGAATCCCTGAACATTAATTGTTCTCTCTGTCAAACTATGTGGTTATACATTTTGAAAGAAGCTGCACAATTACAGGAGAACACTGGTCCCCTATTATACTGTTTTTCATCAATATATTATTGGTCTCATATATATACAAAACATGTCTCTGAAGTGTTTGGCTCGAAATACTAAACAGATCGTTGTAGCATCCCATAAACCCCTCTGTTTCAGCCCTGCTTCAAAAGTGCTGATTCACTGGCCGTTACTTTAGATGAAAATAAGGAACCCCTCCCCACGCCCCTCTGAGAGATATTGGGTTAAAAAGAACACAATGGTGCTCTAGGAGGAGATTCAGGTGATAAGGTGACATCATGAAGTGGCCAAAATCTGATCAGCTCATTTTCAGAAAGGTTTTCATATAAATGGATCAGAACAAAAAGTGAGCAAATCTTTTTTCTTGAAACTTTCAGAATCTCTTTACAAGAGGGGACACATGTTGATGTAGAAAATACATGAAAAAGTGGATTTCCTCTCTGTTTCTTTATATGATATGAATAATAAAGCTAGAAATATGGAAATAATTCGGCTGTGATC